ATCGACCATCCAATCTAAATTATTGGTGGTTTGACTCCCATACTGCACCCATCTTTGAAACGATCTTTGGGTCAAAGGACCAGGCTAGCTTTGTCGATAGCATTTGTAATCTTCACATGTAAGTTCTAAAAATTAAAATTAATTTATACTTTAATAAATTTAACTGAAGGATCAAAACTAGAATAATAAAAATGCCCTTAATTATTTTTTCTTAATTCTTTCATTCATAGTCAAGTCTTTACCCTATTAAAGCAGATAATATTATTGTAAGCAAGAATTTAAAACTACCGTTTGGTGCTTTAACTTGAGTATATAAACATAATAAATATATATCTACAGATTCTTCTTCCTTGCTAAAACATAAATAAAAACACTTCGAAAAGACATAATAAAATTTCACTATAAGAAGAGCTGGTTGTTTATAATTCATATAGATAAAAAGAAAACTGTTAAACAAACATTTTTTTTCTTAACAAACTTAACAAAGATATAGACAAAAATGTTAAAAAATATTGGTAAAATGAAAAAAAGTAATCCTTTAAAAGAAGGAAAACAGTATTTCGTCGAGTTAGGCTTGGTAACTCAATAACGCTGGTAATCTTCATATGTATTTTTAAAAAATGAAAATTAGTTTATACTTCAATAAATTTAACTGAAGGACCAATATTAGAGTAAAGAAAACGTTCTCCATTATTTTTTCTTAATTCTTTTATTTATAGTCAAGTCTTTACTTCATTAAAGCAGATAATACCATTGTAAGTAAGAATTTAGAATTACCGTTTGGGGCTTTAGCTTGTATACCTAAACATAATAAACATATATCTACAGATTTGTCTTTCTTGAAATTTTATTATGTCTTTAGAAAAGACATAATAAAATTTTACCATTGGGAAACTTGTTTGTTGACAATTCATCTAGATAAAAAAAACTATTAACCAAACATTTGAATTTCTTTTCCCAACATATGTAACAAAGATATATATAAAAATGTTAAAAAAATAGTTAAAATGAAAAAAAATTATCCTTTAAAAATATGGAATCAGTATGTACAACTTACCAACTCGCCTTTGCAGAAGAACTTAAAAAAAATAAAAACTTGAAAATTTCATATAATTCCTTATATATTTCTTGAATGAGATTGAATGTTAATCATAAGATAAACATCGGTAAATATATAATTTTTTATATTGGTAAGTACAGTATTTTATTTATTGTTAAATATAATTACTTTACATGGTTATTGTGTATAGTGGTATAGTTATAAGGTCAAATGTACCTGGTAGTACTGCACTTAACTTGTTTCTTAGCACAGCGGCCTTGTTTTACAATGTTGTGTTTCAAAATTTTAATTTTAAGTTGAGGAAGGGATGCAACCACAATTAAAGTAGCAAGTAGCATCCTTAACTTTAACAGCCTACCAAGCTTTGGGGAGATAAAAACATATGATATATTTTTGCTTACCAATCTGTTGCCTTAGAGCTGAAATATATGTAAAAAACTTTTTATTTAATTTGTTATTTAATAAAAGTAAAAAGTGAAATCTGAATACTAATATAACTTACTTGATACTTCATTGATATCTAAAAATATTGACATGCTATTATAAAGATTTAAAAATGTTTGACCCAAGCAAAAAAAATAAATAATTAGTTACCTGAAGAGACTAATGATGCCGATGCAACAGCTAAATAAAAAACATAATATAAAAAAGCAATTTAATTCCGATTATTATGTTCAAAAAAACAATATTTAATACTTGTCTTTTTTTAAGTAACAAATCAAAATAAAATGTTTTTCAAGTAACAAATAAATAAAAAAATGTATCAAGTTACCAGAAGTGGCGGATGAAGCAGTTAAAACATCTAAATGAAAAATAAATAAATATTTAAAAATATATATATATTGTAAAATCCTGGAGATAATGTTCCAATAAAGAATGTTTATTGCTAGTTTTTCAAGAAAAAAATCAAAATAAATGTATTGTTACTTGGGACGGTCAATGCTGCAGAAGAAACAACTAAATGAAATGAATAAACCAATAAAGATAATTTATTTAAGCATGATGGTAATAAACATTTTTCATTGTTAAAAATTAAATGTTTAAATTAACCTAGGGAGGTTGATCCTACAGAAGAAATGACTAAATAAAAAAATATTAAATAAAAAAAGCTATTTTGGCAATGTTCAAATAAACAATAAATAGTAATGCTCAAATAAACAATAAGTAATAAGTAATGTTCAAGTAAACAATAAATATTCAAATAAATCTCTCTTCTTGTTTAATAAAATAAAAGATTATGTAAAATTAAAATAAAGACCATTTGTAAAAGTTCCTGCAACAATACCTAAATAAAAAAAATCTATATTTGCCTAATATAAAACAGATTCAATGATATAATGCTATTTCGATGGAAAAAGCTGAAATAAAAAAGAAGCTTACTGCTCTCAAATCTACAAAAATAACAAACCTACTGAGATCTATCTGTCTGTCTAAAAAAAAAAATTAAACAATAAAATCAAAACAAAAATAATTTTTAATAAAAACGTATTTGTTGATTTAATAGCGTAATTGTTAAACAATAAATTAAAACAATAGCTATTAGAGAAAATTGTATTCCTACATGAAACTAATTTTTAAATATATAAATAATAAAACATTTTTATTTCACTGTCAGCTTGTCTGTCTAAAAAATATTGTTCTCATTAATCCTTCTCCAAACAAAAAATAAAATATAAATTATAAAATGAATTAAACTTACTAAATAGGTCTTCGATTGCTTCGAATGGTTCTGAAAAATAAAACAATAGTTGTTGTAAAAACAATCACTGTTATAAAAATATATAAAAATATATTGTACTAAAACAACTTCTACACCAGTCATTTTTAATTTTTTAAAAACTTCAGGGTTAGGGTTAGGGTTATATCGTCTCGGTGTAAAGCATTCACAGAACGAGTATATTCTTCTTTTTCATGAGAAAGCCGGAGAACTTTTTTGTTATTGTAATTACCATTACCATAAGTTCGTCACACAACATTATTTAGGCATTTTTTGTATCTTTAAACTTGATAATAGTTGTATTTTCGTTAAAAATTAGTTAAGATGTTGCTTGCAGTTATTAAACAAAATAACTTTAAAACATTGTTAGCCCCGAGCCCCAGGCTTTAACATAAGCGTTTACGAGGCCTGTTAATACAGATGGCTATGGAATGTGCATAATAAAATTAAATGTCAAATTAACAAAACTTCATTTTAGACAACTAAACTATACCTCTTGCCGACTGGATTGCTCTTTATTTTTTCCGCGTTAGAAACAGATTTTATTGCGCTATTAGCTGACAAATTAGCGTTTTAATACCTTTTTTACTATTATGTGATGAAATAAAGATCTATTTATAGAACTAAATCAAAGGTTTCCTTTAAAAAAGTCTTTGAAAATTATTGAACTCACAAGGGTTAGAACACAAAAATTTATAAATTAATTACTATTAACAATATTATTCAAAAGTTAAATACTAATTTAAATAAGTCAGCAGAAAAAATATCGAAGTTTTGTTTAATACTTTCAGTATAGTTTTGTAGCTTTAAAAGTTCTTCCTTAAAATATTTTAAAAGGTGTTCATCTCCACAGTTTGAAATGAATTCCACAATATCTCGCTCTGATTTGTCAATTCTTTCATTAAATAGATTAGATTTTAATTTCCTCATAATGATAACAGCTCCATTAAGCTTTAGTTTATTTTCGTTCATCATAATATGACGAAACAAAGAATCGTTGATAAAGTTAAATTGGTCATTGCCAATACAAAATGTTTTGATTATACTTGAGTTAATTTTAAATTCGCCAACTCGAAAATCTATCATTATGGCATCCAGTTCATTGTTAAATTTAATGAAAGCAAAATTAAAGAGTTCGTTGAGCAGTCGATCAGCAAAATAATTCGAGATAAAATGTCAGCTAAGCTAAGTTCTTTTTTAAGGCACTCGACCAATTTTTCATCAAGTTTCCGGTACTTTTCTTTAATTGTTTGATTTAAAATCTCGTTAGTAGAATAGTCTTTAGCTAGTGTAAAAGGAATATTAGCAGGTTTCACCTCATCATATGGGCTAGAAAGAAGATTTAGAAGATTTGAACCTACAAAAATAGAAACAGAATGAAAAAAATCAAACTAATTTTTTTTTTTTTTTTGTATAACATTTTTAATCGATCTAACCTGCTTCTAGCGAGGCGATTTAAAATTCCTTGACAGGATCTTTGTATCGAAAAAAAAATCAATTTTAGTCCAAGTCTTAAGTTTTCTAATGCTTTATAAGCAAAAAATTCTTGGATTACAACAGGTTTTGAGGCTGCTGAAGAACCCGTTATACCCCCTTCTTGATAGGTTTTTATGTAAAATTTAGAAACTACGGGTTTATTAACTCTATCATTTTATAGTAAACACTTGCAATAAGTCCACTTTGGAAACCTGCACGTTTCGCTGTTAATTTAATATCGCTTATTTTAACGAAAACAAACGCCGCTTAATAAAACACTTAGCCAATGCGTGCAAATTACTTTCGTGACCAACAGTTACATTTTTCAAACATTCACCTATTAAATCTAAATCAGTTTGAGTATCTGGATTTTCATTTTAAAAAGCATTCTTTTTAAAAAAGTGTTAAAAGATTGTATAGCCTATGGCCATTGCATTGTTTTTTCTTAATTGTTATTTCATTTATTTAACACCCAATGTAATTTATATCCAATATAATTTATAAGCCAATGTTATTTATAATAAGAGAGTTATTTCTCGTGATTTTCATTTAAGAATTTTTTCCTCCAGAATTTGTTTAAAAATTCATCTTTGCTCTTTCGCATTCTAACCCTAACCCTAACCCTGAGGGAATTTCACTTTTAGAAAGTGCTATTTTTATCTTCTTTTTATTTTGAATTAAGTTTTGAAAATTTAGCATCCGAAAACGGCATATGTCCTGGATATCGCCAACAAACGAATGTTTAAATAAGGGGTGGTTCAGTTGTGGAAAGATGATGCCTGAAGTTGTTTTATTATTAAAAAGACGAAGAAATAAGTTTAATTAATTTTTTTGAATACTTTTTGAAATTTTCTAGATTTTAAATAGCGAATTTGTATAGGTCTTACTGTGTTTTGAATCATTTAAAAGCGATTTTAGTGCACTCATTCCAATTACATTTAGCTTTTTCATCAAAGCAGAATTATGTAAAGTTTGTTAACGTTTTGAGAATTAATGAAAAGTTTGTTAACGTTTTCAGATTTTCACTTCCTTGTACTTCTGAATTAAAAATTCAAATTCCATATTCAAAAACCTAAAACAAAATAAAAATAAGTTTTATTCATACAAACGTATAAAAATAATGTAACAACAAAAATTTTTCTGCCTTAGAAATGATTATAGGCAAAAAAAAATAGGAGTTTTTTTATTGTCGTTAAAAATTGTTTAGCATTACTTTAAACAAAGTAACTTAATTTTTGTGCTGCTTGACTTATATAAGAATATATAGTAAAAAACTTTTACTGAAAAACTCCATAATGTTAACCTTTTTGTTCTTCTTAAACTATAATATTTTAAATTAGAAAAGTGAGCATCTATATAGAGTTGCGGGTTTTAGGGTAAAGGGTAGGACAATGGGGTTATACGTTTGTCAGTTGTTATGTAAATATAGGGTTGCCAGACGTCCGCCTTTTACGGAGGAGAATACAGCGCCAAACCTGTAAAAACAAATTTTTTTACCGTGTTCTCCTTTGTAAAAGCTGGACGTCTGGCACCCCTATGTAAATAGTACACACACTTAGGACAATTCTTAAACTTTTTTATTATAAATTGACAATAATACTAAAATTGACTATTATACCGTTGAAATTGAATATTAAAATTTAAAACAAATAATTAAAAATAAGTTACTTATGAAAGTCTTTTTTTACCCTCTCCTTGGCGAGTAAGAAAACTTGCCTCTGTCCCTAAATTACATTTAGTATCCTTTTAAGTTTCATATTAACTTCAAGTGTTTATATTTAACTTAAAGGAGTTCCGTGTCGTTTCTATATTTAACTGATGCAAAAGATTTCAAATGATCAAAATACACTTTTCATTATTCTATTCATATTATGAATGAAAAAAAAGTGCAAACTTGTCATAGTGGACAAAAGTGACCGATAGGTTAAGTTGTTTGTTCCCCAGATCTGATTTTACATTTTATTTAATTTAATTTACCTTGGTAGACACCGTTTATGACATTTAGAACTTCTAAAGAGTTGGACAAAATCAAAACATTGTTGTTTAAAAATGATTAATTTAAACTATAAAACTGTTAAAAAAATCCGATTAAAATTCAATCCGAAAAAAACTCAATTCCCAAAACTATTGTGGCGTGAAAAATGGCGAACTATTTACGCTAATTGTCAGTTTTGGAAAAACTTGCCTAAAATTTAGAATATTATTCCTGCGATTGAAACAAATATTGAAACTTTTGTCTGGAACTAATATAGTTTAGAAGTAGCCATTAAATATATATATATATATATATATATATATATATATATATATATGTATATATATATATATATACATATATATATATATATATATATATATATATATATATATATATATATATATATATATATTTATATATATATTAACCCCTTTTTGCATAACTTTTTTTATTGAACTAAACTAATAATTCTAGAAGCATTCTATGACCTAACAACCAAAAAAAAAAAAATTAAAAAAAATTTTTTTAAGGTCAATTAATTGCAAAATAATTAATTGTATCATATATGATACATCATGCAGTAGTGGAACTTTATAAAAAAATTATAAACTAATGTTTGTTGCTTAACAGAGAGTTTATCTTGGAATATGACCTTGGTAGTTATATATACTCAGTAAAGATATCATAATATATAAATAATCTATTGATGGAAAACTTTAAAACAGTTGCGGCCTTTATTAAGACACAGCGCAGTGTCACACTTTTCACAAAATAAATATGTTAAGGCGGAGCACTTGTC